ATTATTATTATTATTATTATTATTATTATTATTATTATTATTATAAAAGTATATTTATTATTTAATATTTTGTATTGTTTTTAGTTTATATGTTTATTTATTATTTAATATATATGTAAAAAAAGTATATATAAAAAATGTTTTTTATAAATTTTTACAAATTATAGATTTGGCACATGGACTTAATTGAAATATTCTAAACCTTTATGAATTTGCAATTGAGTCCCTATAGTTTATCAAATTTTCAAAGAAACTTCCTAAACTCCAAAAAAAAAACTGAGCCCTGTTAGGCCCCGTCGTTCATGGCCGAAGACATCCTCTTCCAAAGCTGCGACCCTCTCCACCGTCGCCGGTAGTGTCTGACCGTATTATCTTTTTTTTTTCGGCCATTAATGGCAGAGCTCGAAGCTCCATTTTCACTGTCGAATTCAACCATGGTCGGAGGCGGAGCTTTGCCGTGCATATGGTGTAGTTGAGGGCGTCGAAGATGAGTCACTGGCGGTGAGAATGGCGTCGGCGCCGGCACCTGGACAATGGAGAAGCAATGGCAAGTTGGATCGGGCAGAATGGGACGGATGCTCGCTGGCGGTGGGGCTGAACGATGGTTGTGGAAGCTTTCGGTCGGCTGCCGGCGTGAAGCTCACAGAGACGGGCTAGGGAGGGTACCTGCGTGCGTCTTACTGTGTGTGTTTGTGTTGTGTGTGGCGTGTTTGGGGAAGACGGCGCCAGAGAGAGTACGGCGGCGGAGGCAAGATGGCGGCGGCACCCGAGGCGGACTGAACACCGTCGCTGTGTGTCTGAATGTCTGTGTGTGTGTTCAGCGTGATTCAGTGTCTTTTTGTGTGTGTGTGTGTGTGTGTGTGTTTTATGTGTGCTGGTGTGTGTGTAAGTGTGGTGTGCGTGAGTGTGATTGTGTGTGGCGTGTGTGTGGCGCGTGTAAGATTGTGGTGTGTGTGTGTATAATGATGTGGCATGGGACCCATTGATGAGTGGAATAGTTTGATAGTAAAATGTAATGACTAAAATACCCTTAATGAAGGTATAATGTTGACTTTTTTTTTAGCCACTAGATCATCCGATCTAATGGCCACAATTTATTCTTATTTCTTTCATGAAGAACCATTCTCACCGGAACCCAACCCTATATATATATATATATATATATATATATATATATATATANNNNTAAATATATAATAATATATATATTCTTATAAGAGGTATTTAAATTTTCAAACTACTTTTTCTCATTAATTTTAAATTTAAAGAAAAAAATTAGCAAGCACCCGTGTAACACACGAGTGTTGTACTAGTAAATATAAATAAAAAAGAAAAAACAAAAGTTGGTGGGACATTGCACCAACACGTGTTTGTGTTACATTGAACAACTCTTTTTTTTTTTTTTTTAATAAAGTAGAGGTTTATGAGAGGAGTAAGGGCAACTCTTAGAGCATCTCTTATAATACAACTACACAAATCTCCTTTTTCTATTCTCAATATAGCACATCATTCAAAACTTTATTCTCACTTCTATACATATAAACCTCCAATAACAATAAACCTCATAAACCTCATTTGTATGGGTCCCACATATTTGCCATTTATTTTTATAATAAATATTATACTCTTAGTTTTTATTAATATTTTAAAACTATAACTCCACTTTTATTTTTATTTAATCTAAATATTTAATATACTTATCATAAATACATACTAAAATAATAATATAATTATAGAAACTATATTGCACTATTTATAATTATAGATTATCAATTAAAATAAAATTGAAATTAGTTATAGATAAGAAAAATTAATTTTACGATATAAAAACGATCAAGATATGTTTTTCAAAAAATTGATTCAATATTATGATATTTCTAACAATTAGGTTAATTTCGAATATACTCAATAAAATTGTGCCTAACTATATATCTTAACATATAATATTTATAAAATTAAATTTCTAATTAATATTAAAAGGAAGGAATAATTTTTTGATTAAGTTTAATTTATATTAAATTAATATATATATATAAATATTTAAAAGGAAGGAATAATTTTTTATTAAGTTTAATTTATATTAAATTAATATATAGATATGAATTATTCAACTTCCACACTAAACGAAATATCGA